CGTAATACTTTTGCATTTGCGAATACAGTGCCTTGCATGCTGCAGCAAATAAGTATTGGCACTGATGTATTCGTTCGACATAAGTCACAAAGTGTATCCATTTTTCTCATCTAAAAAATAAACAAAAAAAAAAAATTATAGTGCTTAATTGCTGAAATGATAAATGATTAAGAAGAAATAATGGTTTGGTAAGCTAGCAAAAATAAATAAATTAACCGGAATTTTGTCAAATCTTGTACGATAATACAATTTCTATCGTGGAAAAGACTGAACTGTAAAAGTGAATCAAAGGATTTACAGTACGTACTAACATTAAATAATGCACTTTCTTCCACTAACGATTAGAACTGTTTGATCTTAAATCATAAACAAGATTTGCTTATGTCACTAATACATTATCAACATCAATATCATTACCAGCATCATCATCATCATCATCATATGTTATTATCGATATGAATATCATCATCATTATCACCATTATTATCATCACTCCACTAATGCATTTCAAGTGATAGATTTCAGAATCTCATGGGAACAGGTGACATAGTAAAAAGGAACAAACCTCATCCGAAACATGCAGCGCAAAATGATTCGCTTCAATAAGATGAGGATGTGCTCCATAACATGAAACACTTCCAGTAAAATCTTGTATTTGACGTACAATTGAAGCACAAGGCGGTAAATGCAATATTATCTAAAATAACTGAATAATCTTTTCTCTTTTTTGAACAAATTAATAAATATAAATAAATAAATATATACTTATTTATTGATTTATTGATCACGATATGCGCAATAATTTCATAGGACATCTGTCTTCATACCATGTGCATTTTTATAAGTAAAAAGAAGGATAAAAATAAATCATTAAAATTTATTCTGTAATTCTATATTTATTATCATTATCAATTATATTATTCACTTACCAAAAGACAATAAAAAAAATTGCTAAAAATTTTCTTTTTTTTTTTGAAATAGAAATACTTGCATGAAGTTTCGAAATTAATATTGTTTAGAGAAATATTTGACAGAGTTGCAAAGCTTTTATACATAAACGCATATTATGGCAAAAAGAAATTTAATGGATTAAGTGTAAATAGATTTAACCAAATTCTCAAAATTGACATATGTGTACATAAATTTCTACAAAAAGTATTATTTCTAACACTTAAGCAATACAATTATACCATGAACAATTGCTAAAAGTTGATACTAATTAATTAGTTGATTTGTAGAATGTATAAAATGAGCCTTACATGGATATGTTTCTGAATGAAGCCTAGCACTCGTTCTAATGACCTTTTGAGTGGAAAACTGACCATTGCAATCGAATCAAGTATGAATAATTCTTTGATGTATACTGGCTCTACGTAAAGAAAGAAAAAAAAGTTTCGTAATCGGATTAAAATTGTTAATTTACTGCTCAAGCTTACTTAGGATCGTTCGAAAATTACAATTAGTGCAAATTTCAACCTAGTATGACATGTAAAACTGTTTAGTTATTTATTCACTAAAATAATTACCCACTTATTTAATTATATAATAAATTAGACCTACTCAACACATTAAATGTTTAAAGTGTTTTAATGTTAAAGTGGCTAGTAATGGTCAACAGTAATGTAAATTGAGGACATTTTCTCAAAGCCTGTTGACGAATTTATCCAGATTAATCTATTAATAATTAGATGATACCAAAAAAAAAAAAAAAAACAAAGCAAAAGAGAAAGTCTTTTTCTAGAAGACTTAAACAATTTCAAAAATACTGAATTGGCTGAAGGAGAAAAAAAAGTATTAACAATTGATGAACTTTTAAGGATCTAATCAAGTAAGAAAAGTGAAAAAAAATATGTTTTTTGAATTATATATTTTGAATTTATAAAATGAAATATTTAACTCTTACTTAATACATTTCGATAAAAAAATAAATCAATCCTTCCTAATGTGCCAGCAACGATGGGAAAGTGTCGTTGTTTCATTTCATCCAAATGTACTTCAAATCGACGATCATTGATACATGGTAGACATTTCATTTCACCTGCATCCTCATTTAGTTGATGTGCTACCTTCAAATTAGATTACCGATAATTCGAGAAAATTTTTCCAACCTTTTTTTTTCTTTAAAATCATTATTTGAATATATTATTATAGTTAACTTCTAATGAACTAATATTTAGCCACCATTTGGTTAGGAAGAATTATTGTGACATTATAAAAATAACTTTTTGCAATATAAATTTCATTTATACAATAAGTGAGAATAAAAGTAAGAATAAAGTTTCATTCTGAATGAACAGTTGCTTGTCAATTCAACGATTCATAAAATAAAATAAATGACAAGAGAAGATAAGAATTCGCAAAAATATCCTTTGATTTATAAAATCTCATCAATCCTAAAAGACCTGAAACTAGAAGAATTAAAAGTGAAACTTGAAATTGGAAAAATTAAGAGGATATGAAGTTCAAAAAAAATTAAAGAGGAGAAGAAGAAATTCACATACCTTAAAGGCAAGTTCACGGGTCAGAACAATAATGACCACTTGTACCTCCGTTACGTTACTCTCGATACAAGCTAATGCTTTTTTTCGTAACTCAAACTCCATTTTTGAAATTGAAATACTGGATTATTTCTAGAAAAAATTCCCAAAAACCAACTGATAAGTACAATTATAGTCAGATTCTCGCTTTTTCCTTTTTTTAATTTGACAAGCTCTCTTCTCCTAAAATCTAATTCTCCCACACTGGTTTTACTCAAATCTTATGATCGATTAAAGTCGCAATGTAATTTTTTGCTTTGAGCATTTCTTAATACCTAAAATTACCCTACTTACTAATTAATGATCTGTAAGAATAATTAGAAGATTTATGGGCTAAGATTGATACGATCAACTATTCGTTTTATATTATTATCACATTAACTTCGCGCTCTTCTTTTTTTGGATAATCTTAATGGTAGATCTCGGATAATTAATTTCTCTCATAGCAATGGAGCTCATTTTTTATCCTCCAAAAACTTCCTAATAAAATGTTAGCTTTTAAGGTAAATTAATTTCTTTGTTGAATGAATAGTGAGTGGTAGATAAAGGATAACTTTTTGAAGGATTTAAAATCGATTGATTATCTTTCATTTGATTGTAAAATTAAATGATTTAAGATCAATGAGTTGTTTCAAATTGATTAGACTTTTCTCCTTGAAATATCTCGATAGAATAAATGAACTGACTTGTTCTGTTTCAAATTTTGCAGAAAAAAAGAGAGAAAAAGAAAACTACGAATTTGAAATGTTTCATAATTAAAATCAATGCTTCAAAATTTCCAGCAGCTTTCAAAAATCATTTGGAGATTTTAGAAAAAATTTATTTGTTTTAACGAAATGATAAAGAGAAAGGGAGAGAGAGGTAGAGAAAAGGAATAAAAAGTTGTGCTACCATTTAATCCAATATCATTGAATAACAAATGAACAGATGAAATTATTTTTTAATTTTGAATTCATATTTTACTTCAGGGAGAATGAAACGATTGAAATACAATATAAACTGTAATAAAAATAGAAAAACAAATATTTGACTCTCAAAACCACAAAACTTAAGATAGCACTTAATTTTTGACTTCAAAGTAAATTAAATTTTGATTGTTAACAACAAATTATAATTACAATTAGAGTGCCGCTCAGGCAGTTACATTCCCAGAAATTAGAAAGGATAAAATCATTAATTGCAGAATTATTCGCAATGACTGATTTGCTTTATGTGTGACTTATTCTGCAATGACTCCAAATATCGCATGCATACAATTAATTAGTTTGTGAAGACAGAACTTTCTGAATTTATCTCTGAAATACTTCTTGGGCAAAGCATTATATCTTCACTTGAAAAAAGAGAAGATTTGCTACCATAATTTTTTTTTTTTTTTTTTTTTTCAAACCTTTTTGCAGTAACTTCTTGGAGTTTTTCACTCAACCTTTCTCCAAATATCACTTCTTAGACTTTGCAAGTGACCACCACCAAGAGTTTCCACATAGTCATCATCTTCCTATGATTTAGTTTCCCGTCTTTGCTGTTTTGGAACATTTGCAAACTAGAATTTTTTTTAATTTAGAATTCCCAAATACTTCCTCGAAATAATTGTAACCTTCTCTGAAGCTTTAACGATTGCTACGCTTGAAAATCACCAAATAGCTGAAGATCTGATATTAGATTTATTGATAGTAGTTGAAGAGGAATAGCACAGAATATCAGTTAGTTGTATGATTCTCAAACTAAAACACAATTCCAACACATCACACAGGGATCACTTCTTTTCATACAAACGAAGAATGGCAATTCTCTAATATATATTTACAAAAATTGTATAAATCCAAGAAAATTTTAAATACAATTAATACTCTTACAAACATACGATCAGAAAAAAAAAATTGGAAATAACTGGAAGAGCAAAATTTTGAGTGTTAAAAGTTATATATAATATAATTTGCATATTTTTATCAAATATGAAAAATATTAAACAAACTAGAGGTTGCTTTGTGCCATGAATAAACGAACCTAGTCATAATAGCTTGTATACATGTACACCTGAAGAGATCTCAAAAAGGATATAATAAGGATATATTCGGTGATCAGTTATGCTATAATTTGGGCATATATTATGTAAAACCATTCCACCAAATAAGCTTATAGAAAATATCCAAATTATGCTTATCTATAAATCATTTTTAAGAAAATATTTAACACCTCAAACTTCTTTCGTCGATCTGCAAAACTCAGTAATTAGTCATTAAGATTAATGAGCAAACAAAAACATTTATAGCAGTGTTTTTTAAAGCAACTTTACTGGTAGTCTTGATAAAAATACCTATAATAGTAATATCACCCAAATAGTTTAATAAAAAATCACATTATGAATGGCACTATCATAAAACATGACAAGAATATTATTTCCTAAATAACATTTGTTCAAAATTAAAACCAAATAAAACTATATTAAAATTCCTAATCAATTTACTAGAGAGATTTGTCGCCTGTTAAAAAATGACTTCGTACTGCGAGCTCAGCCACTGAACGATTTAAAAAGATTCGTTTTTGCTTGATAATGCATGCCATATTGATGCATTTATTATAATCAATGTTGACTGATCGTAATACTGCAAAAAAAAGGAAAACTCAAATTCGTAGGAAATTCTTAACAATTTAAACTATGCTGTATAATTAACAAATGACGACAATGATTAGCATATCACTAAAAATTCTGCACCATTTTGACCTAATAAAATTGCAAGGATATAGCGAAAATTACGTAAGAATTACTGATTTGATAAACTTACATAAACATTTACGGCATTTATCATTGAGCTGAGCAAGAAGGCGTCTTTCCCAGTAATAATCACATACAGCAAGTAGAAAAGCTTTAGGATCAACGATGCAATCTTTGCACCATAATCGTGTACCAAGTGCTCCACAACTAAAATTTGATTCCCTCATTAGAAATGAAATGTATTAGTGCTTATAACAGATTGATTATTAAACTTAAACAACTAAACTGGAATGAAAATAATTAAGTTTCAAAAACATTGCGACATCAAATTAATGCATTTATTCTTCTCGCTCTGCAATAAAATTAACTCGTTTATTGGTATCTAGAAAGATAATGTTCGATATGAAAGCTATTGTTCCTACGCTTACGCAATAAGTATAATTACATAAAGAACAAACTTGTAGCAACCAACAGTTACAGGACAATGCCATTCGATTTTTAGCGGGACGAAGTTAAGAGCTCGATGCAATGAAGGCAGTAGTTGACGTCTTATGTAATATTCGAAATTGATTTTTAAACGACGATCAAAAATGAATTCGTCAGGTTCACGAACGCATGAGATCAAAGTGCTCTTTGGTTCACCGGAAACGATTACATATGGGACTCGTTCACCAACTTCTGGTTCATAACGTCGACATATGGCTTTCCTTTTCCTAAAAGAGAAAAATTTTAAAATATTATTTATACCTAAACATCTTGAAACTATAGAATACAAAAAATCCCTCAATTCTTACTCGGCTATCATTTTTGATGCCACAATCGCAGATTCTGCGTATGATTTGCGATATTCGCGACTGAAGATAAAATCAGATAATGGGAGCTGCGAAAGATTAGAAAGTTGAATATCCAAATAGCGTACCATTCGATTCATATCATTAATGAAAAGCAAACGCAGAGTTTTTTCCAAAATCTAAAACAAGATTCAACAATATGGATGCACGTAAAAAATCGTAAAAGACAAATAATGAAAGTAAGAAAAAAAAAAAAAAAAACGAAAATAAGACACGACGAATTCTAGCTCAATAACCTGCGTATTTCCACACCATTTATTACTTTTTGATGTTGTCAAAATTAACTAGAAATATGGAAGAAAACCATTTTCCATATATTCACTAAAAACAATACCTTTGAAACAAGCGGACATGTATCTCTCCGAACTGTTTCAATACCTTTTGCATCGAAGACACCTTCCACATCATCAATACTTTCATAGCTCATTCCTACGTATCGTTTTTTCGATTCCAAAATAAGGGGATGCATAATTTTTTCTAATTTTAGCTTTATTGGACTTGGATTTGCTCTAGTCACATCATCAGCAATCTTTTTGCCAATATCGAAGGCTTCAGCTCGGGTTGCTCCTGAGAAAAAAACAAAACTCTCTTATAAAACACAGTAATCCTTTTCATACATTCAGGAAACAACTTTCCTCACAATATTCGCATATACATAAATGATTATTGTATTTGGTTATATTCTCAGTTATCGGAAATCAATTACTTATAATTGATAGAATAAAATAAAAAGAAACCTGGACAAACTACAAACATGCTATCAGTATCACCATAAATCACTCGTGAATTTCCATAAGCTCCACTGCCAACCAGTTTCATAGCTCTCTCTAGAGTTTCACGCCCCTGAAATAACATAAAAAGTAAAAAAAAAAGTTTCCAACCATTAATATCATATTTATATTGCTTCGAAACAGGATTTAAGCCTAACCTTGCCTACAATAGCATCAGCCACCTCAACACATGGCATACGACCACTAAAATTTGCTGCTGAATAACCATATGTTACATTTGCAATCAATTTCAACGCCATTTGTCGTGCCTCCAATATACGAGCCAGTCGCTATAAAGAAATTATGTAAATTTGAAAGAAAATCTGTTATTTAGAAGAGGAAGTTTGAGCAAATTTGATGAAAAATTTTTTTAAATCCGCTTTCTTTTATTAAAAATTTTCAAATTATTAAAAATTCGCTTTTTCTTTATTTTATTAAATATTTCATTTTCAGATATTTAATCTCGATTGCTATATCATGATTCATTTCTATGTTCAAATCGATTCCTTGTTTTTTCTAAGAATAATTTCTAGTCAGGTATTGCAAAATTTTAATTGACTTTTAAGTCATTATGACATAAAAATATATTACGACATCTTAGTATTGCAATTTCTTAACATTTTCATCAAACTATGAATAATATTCTGATGGGTGCGAAAATCATCCCCAATCAATAAAAACATACTGTAAAGAGTATTATACACTACACAGAACTTTAACAAATATACACGAATAAAATTCAAAATTTTCCTACACTGAAAGATAATAGTACCTCAGGTATAGCTTCTACACATCTCTATTCTTTCAATTCTAACTTTGGTAACTTTAATAATTTTTGTCCCTACATAATAATGAAAAAAAAAAAAAGAAAACACACAAACAAAAAAGGTGCTAACTTTTAAATTTGCACTAAACAATTCACAAAAAAAAAAAAAACAAACTTAACATACTCTGTCGTTTTTGCATTCCTTTGCTGCTTTTTTCACCATCACTCTCGTATTCAAAATTTCTTCAAGCATCACTGGCATTAAACCTTAAATTGTCAATAAACTGATTTTAAAAAAGGACGCTAATGTAGAACTAAAAAATCAAATTTGTGAATAAAACAGAAAATTTAAAATTGGAAAAAAGAGCAACCTTTCTGAACATTTTTTCGACAAAAAATTGCTCCTGTTGGGGATACATGCAATTTGTTGGTGGTAAGCATCGAAACAATATCATCTATCTAAACAAAACAACTTATGATGGTCATCAAAAAGAAGTTTAATTACACTTACAAGATAATAACAAATGACAGTAGTTTATTCCAAACCATCACATTCAGTAATGGGCGGTTCTAAGAAACGAAAAAGAATGGAAAAAAAGGAATGATTTAAAGGAAAAAAGGAAACGGATAAACACGTCTAACAATAATAGCAAGAAAAATTACGCAGTGATAAGCATATAAAAAGCAAAATTAACTAATCAAAAAAGAAATATTGTTTTCGTAAATACAATTAACGGATGGATGAAGATAATACAAACGAACCGGACAATTATATTCCAAACCACCAAATTCGATTATTTTATCTGCTGTACAAATATTTTCAACATGCGATACTTTTCCAAAGCATGTGGTAAAGCAATAATTGTAAGCGATAATAACGGATGGATAAAGCGACTGAAAATCCAGTACAATAACCGGATCACGATAAAAACCTGATTCCGGTTCCATGGTTAATGGTAATGTTTCTGGTGAGCACATTCTGAAAAAAAAAAAAAAAAAAACTGAACAAAACCATCAGTATACTTGCAAAACTCCCATGGCGTACCACGTCATTTCAAAACAAGATGGAACTCACGCTTGTCTTTGAACAGGGGAAATACTGGGAGCAACATATCTTTCTCGACGTGCGAGACGTAAAAGCATTGATTCAACACGAAATTGCGAACCACGTGTCAAAACTTCATTGAACTAAATTCAAAATATCACTCATCCCATAGATCATAGGATTGTAAGAGAAGTACAAAATAGCTAAAACCAAAAATACCTGTATGCCATAAAGACGTGCCATTTCTGATGTTCTCGTGAAAAAATCCAATCGTAAAAGAATCAAAAGATTTAACTGACAATACAGCTTCATATGTTTTAGAACCAGGGCACTAAACATTTTCCAAACAGTATTTGAAGTAAAAATCAAAAACTGTTTAATGATATTCAAAAGGTTATTGCATTGCTCTTTTCTAAACAGATGAAATTATGCTAGCTAACGACACAATACTTTAAAAACAAATTAGAATTACATCAAATCTCTTTCGCCCGATAAAATCCATTCTGAGAGAGTTGAGAAGCTGTAATGAGGAAATCTTCGCTTCAAAACACTATTAACGACATTTGAAATAGTATAATTCCTGGAAACAAAAAATATGCATTTTTAAAACATTTTAATAAGAAACCGACGTTTTTTATATTAACAAAAATATATTTTATTCTTTATTATAAAAACAATTGACGAGAATTTATCTAAAAAGAAAAAAATACATAGACAATTATATAATGAAAGGAGGTTGTGTAAAAATGGCAAAGCGTATGTAAACACATAATAAAAGATGAAAAAATAATTTAAAATTCTTATGCTCAAAAATAAAACGAAAAGGAGCCAACCTCAGTGCAACTTCATGTCGAAGAATACGCCACACATTTATGAGTATTCTACCTCTTGGAGTTGGATCTAATTCTCTCACCCACCAGTTTTTTTTCTGTAACCCAGGACGATAATAATCATTGATTTCTGCAAAAATTAAACTTATATGGTATAGTAAATTTTTAGTTGACAATACACTTTTGAAAACTGTAAGATGATCCATTACATTAAAATGCATATTACACGAAATAGCATTATATGATGGGTACTGATCATCGATATTCTCTAATTTATTATACTGTTAAGTGTCTCCACTTTAATTCTTTTAAACCTAACGTTTTCACACCTTTACGTCACTTAATTTTGATTGCATGAATTAAGATTAAACCACGTTACATGGACTTTTTGAAAATTTTGTAAAATTAGATATTAAAGGAAAAGAGTGGAACGTGCACCAATAGGAGCGCGTGAAATTTCCGATAGAAGATTTCGCCCAATGACAAGAGATCTTTCAGTGAGATAACCCCAAGAATATCGCTGAGTGTTGTATCCAATAACTATATCGGGGTCGTACCTATAATTCTATTATTTGGTACATATCTTTTACTAAAATGATCTTTCATTTAATTTCACTTGAAAAAAGCCCTAAAAAATAAAAAACAAAAAATTTAAATTAAAAAAAATTTCTGACAACAGTATGTCAAAATGAAAGAAAGTAATGTTTTTTCAAAAGCAGCCGAAACAGACAAAAACAAACCTGTGAATAACATTGACGAAAGCATCAAACAGATCAATTTCAGAAGCAACAAAAGTATAAAACTCATTTTTGCCAACCATATCAGCTAGCAACACATCATCCATATTCAACAAAACACCGCTCACATTATTTATTTCTTCATGCATACAAACATCCATTGAAATTGTATAAAATATTCCCAAAATCTAAAACAATCATATTAAAATATTCTTGGAAGAAATTTAGTGATTTAAAAATACTAAATAAAACAAACCTTATCATGCTGTGGATCAGGTACCGGCATTCCACGAGATGATAGTGTAAGAATCTCCATAGACATTACGCATAAATGATGAATATCTGTTTGTTCTACTTCACTGATCCACGGAGTTACCGAAGACTCAATTAAAGTTTCTTCCAGCTTTTCTTTTGTATTTTTATACTGGAAAATTGTTGATTAATTTTAATCTTATAGCATTCAATTAAGTCAAATCAAATTTCTAGTAGTGATTTACATTGATAAAACTGGGTTTTTCAGTGAACGATTCTGTGGAAAACTGGTCAACTATTGTTTCATTTTTCAGTTCACACCCATTTCCAATAGGTTCACCTGAAGAAAGATATATAAGAAATATAACAGGTATGTGTAATTTCAAATTTCTTGCACTCTTGATAAAGGCATTTTCATTCATTAGATATATCAGGTGATAACGAAACGCTCCGGATTCAAGCGAACATGCACGATATCATTATTTTAATAATCAAAGGCATAAAACATGCAATTATTCATAAAGAATCTAAAACTTCGTCAAAGAAGCAAAAAAAAAAAAAAAAAACTCAACCATATTCTGTAGTGTAGAGTTGTTCAGTATCGCATATTTGATTGGTCTTTTTTCGTAGAGATAAGCGCTTAGAAGGGCGTAACCATTGTTCACTTTTTGCACATTCTACCTTTAAACTACTGCAAAACATTAATTTTGCAAATAATATTCAAAAAACATAATTTAAAGTCAATTTCAGCTCACTAGAAAAAAATAATTAGTCTTTTAAAAGAACAAACTTTTGTTGGCCTTTCGGAATCCAGGCACTCTCAATATCCACTTCATAACATTGTGCACAGTTGATTACCTCCTAAATAACGCTAAAGTATAAAGCCATAGAAGTTACTCAGCAATAAATTAAAAGACAAATACTGAAAAGTATTTAATGTCATTCTGAACAACAACCTTATTTTCAACCCAATCATCGTCTTGTTCAGAAAGCTGATTTCTTCCGCAGCTGAAAATTCCACATGATTAATTTCCTTACTTTCCAGTGTAATTTTAAAATAATCAATACTGTAATAAAAATAAAAAAGTTGTCCAAGATTTCTTTATCATAATATTAAAGTAGCTTAACTGAAAAAGACGTACCTAGTAGAGGTTTCATTTGAAGCAGATATTTGTGAAGAGGCTTTCGATGAAAGTGAAAAAAGTGAATATTGGGATGATGCACCGGAATCTCGCAAACTTCTATCTAAGTGGTCCGAACCAATCGATGAAGCAATTGCGGTTCTGATATTTTTCGGTTGACTTTCAAACAAATCGTTGCTATTATTTGACTGCAAAAAGATTTTACCATTAGTTTGGAACCTTTGCAATATTTATATTCCATTAAAGAAGAAGAACTTTAAAGTATTAAAATACTTCAGAAGTGGAGGGAGGACCGATTAATTGAATTAAAAATGGATGAACGTCTGAACTACGTTTGAAACGTCAAATAAGTAAAAAGTTTTCTCCAATTAAACAAAATCTGTACTTAATATAATTCTATATTCATTTCCATTAAAATTTTTATCAATTATTCTTAGTGCTGTAAAAAATAAAAAATGTGTGTGTGTGTGTGTGTGTGTGTGTGTGTGGAATACTACGTAACTACCAAATCAGTAGAACCAATTCACAAAATTTTGAAATCATGTTCATTAAACTAAACCTGCTGACTACTTTTGTCGGGAGATTTTCCAATTTGAAGCATATTTTCGATACCAGATGTATCCGAAGTCATCTCATCCTCGATATCATTATCGTCATCATCGCTTTCATCAGAAATGCCTTCAAGAAAATCTGGATCCAACTGCTGTAATCTAGATCGAAGTTCTAAAACAAGTAGAAATCTATGACATAATACACCGAAATAATGATGAAGAGTACAAAAAAGTGATGTAAGACTAAAAACAAAAATTTTGCTCATAAGTTAATACTTTTTCTAAACAACGCTTGATAATAATTTATTAAAAAGTATAACAAATAACAAATCTCACAAAATTAAATGTGCATGAGAAGCCATGAAAGAGTGCAGAATTTCCATACAACTTTGCTTGAATTTTCAAATCTAAATATCGAGATCAAAATTTATTTAACAACGAAGACTAAAATCTTTGGTAAGAGTACAGCTTCAGAATGTATTATATAGGTACCTTTAACATCAGTAGACCTTACTGTCTCACAAATTGCTCCAACTTCTTCTCTCAAATCGATCTCCTGCAGTTATCAATCCAACTAAATTTGATTCGTGTTATAATTTTCGCTAAATTTCAAGAATTTGTGTAATTAATGTTGAAAATTCTGATAAAGTGACCTCTTGAAACTCCTGTTCATTATCTTCCATTAATTCTTTCATTTCATCCTCATCATCCAGAAATAGTTCTTCGTCAAACATATTTGTTCCTGTTACTTCAAAGTCATGTACAACTGGATCATTTGTTTCAATTTTTCTAATATCTGTAAATGGTTTGAAAGATTAATAAGAGTTAGTGGAATGAAGTTCCAAGAAAAATAAAACATGGGAAAATCCTTCACCTTTTGGAATACGAAAAGCAACGCTTTGTGTGGCGCTAAAGGAAAAAGTAGAAGCATTTCCGTTGAAGAAAGTATGCAAGCGGCTCAAATAATCCGTTTCTTTTTCGGTGTTCGATGATAGTCGTTCTTCTAAAAATTTATCGTTTTAATAGAACTCACATTATAATTTAGTTTCTCGCTTTGATTTAAAATTCCGTATCGTTATTTAAATTAATCTCCAACTTTCAATCCTGGATTATTAGATATTTCTAAATATAAGATCATCAAACTTCATCAGAAATAATTTTTAAAACCTTGTGATGATTCGCTAATTAATTCTTCACCCTTCTTTTTACAACGCCGCTGCTCATCTTGCCATATATAATTCAATCCTGGGTTGTTAGATATTTCTAAACATAATACGACCATAAATGTGGATAAAAATGTAGAGTCTATTAGTTCTTAGTTATACCGATTAAATTGCTGGAAAAATTTATTACATTATGCAGAAACCATTAAATTTCTGAAAAGATAAAAATTTGATTTCATATATTTTTTTTAATCTTCCGCAAGTAAGTAGAAAAGCTAACTTGAAGCAGAATAGAAGGAAGCATTAGTGATATCTGCAGCAAAAACATCACATTCTACAGCTGTAGTAGTTGAAGGTAACAGTGGCGACACAAGTTCAATGCTAAAAATAAATTTTGTGAATGTCGCAAACTTGTGTTAATTTATATATATATACAATCCATATTATTTTATAGATGGAAATATATTATTACAAAAAAAAATACACTACCACAAGATAATATTTATAGAGAATATTATGATAAACGATTTAAAAAAAATCTTTGCTAGCAACATTAGATTAGATAGATACTGTAGGCATCAAATATATTCATTTTAATTAATATCTATAAAACTATATCATCTCACTTTTTAACGATGTTCTCGACTTTCAGATCTTGATAATAAAAGTCTGAAAAATAACTACATTCCTTTCAAGCAAAGTGTTGATATAAACAAGAACATATTTTGAAAAAAATAAAGAAAAAAAAAACGACGAAAGACAGATAACTCATCAGATGATAGTTTAGACTGTTATAAGTAAAAAATGCAAGAGTAGTGGGTGATATCAAATAGATTAATTATAAAAAGTTTTGGCACCATTTTCGGTTTTACGCTGCAACCGACTTCAGTACACGACGTCGTACACAATGATGACATCATGAAAAGAAACGACGGATATCATTCACGATAAAAAAAACAAACCGTTAAAATTCCGCTGCGGAGATACACGGAATTTAACTGAACTGAAATTGACCATATCCATGCCAAATATGGAATGATCTATGAAAAACTGTAGAATATAAGGTATATGCGCCTCATACACTTGAAATATTGAATTTTTTCTTGCTTCTTTTTGTAGAGCATCTGCTATACTGAAAAATTTCTTTTGAATCTAAAGTAAATAAAAAAAAAACTATCAGAAACACATACACTTGGTAAGTGCAAAACAGAATAATCCATTAGAACTTGAAGAACATAAGGTAAATTTAATTTATAGAGTTGAACCACCCTACACAAATCAGATAAACAGTAGGTATATAAAACACGAATAAAATTCCGTGAGGGTCTCATGCTTAAAAAAAATCACATCATTTCAACAAAAACATCGCAGATTTCAAGCTCACATTCTAAGTTGAAGTGGATTATAGCAAAGAATCTGTACAAAATTTTCGTTGTTTTTGTGATAACCATACAGTGATCTGAAAATTGAAAAACATGACAATATTTGTGCATAATGGAATTAACTTTTCTTAACACTTGATAGTTATTTACAATTATTTACGAACTAAAAAAAATATTTTGTTGAAAATCTTATTAAAACTTTGGAAAGAATAAGATCCAATTTACCTAGCAGTTATTGACTTGATCTCATGTATTGCAAAATTAACATTGAATTTAAGCCGTGGATTGTAATCCGAAACGATTGAACTAATTCTGTTTCGCAACAATGAAGCAAATTCAGGTGTAAATTGTACAGCAGTTTGGATTACTATATATGGAAATACACCATGAACATGTACACAACATTTTTGACCTATTAAAAAGATAGAATTACATCAGATATTCTTAGAAATTAACGAAACGGAGACAGCTAGGAAATATTAGAGAATAGTGGTTTAGAAAACATTGTCAGGAGTTTTTACTTAAGAAAACAATATTAATAGAAGCTTAAATTTGATTTTGTGATACTGGATTTGAAAAAAATGAAGTGGTAGTAATGAAATGATGACTAATACCCGTCTGTAAGATACCAAACATTCGTATGATTGGTACTTTAACATTGGTACGAAGATGAATTTTGTTAAAACCATTTGGTTTTTCCAAATAATAATCGCATGTAACGTTTCGCACTGAGAGGCTTGTCATTATCACCAACTGATCCGTTGGTTATCACATAACTCTTTCGTTCTGCAACAAAATTACGCAGCTCGAAAGGAGTAACTAAAATTTATTAGATCTATGTGTTATGATTATAGCATTAGACGTTTTGGTCGTATTTCTAACTTCAAAAAATGGAAACATCTGAATCATAAATCCCGCAGAATAATTTATAAATTTTAGAATATTTTAAATTAATAAGTAAAAACCTTCATCACAACTCACATATACTGATCATCATCCATCACTGTAGTGCCAAACGAATAGTATGAATAGTTCAGCCGAAATCCTCAACAAATTTAAATTATTATCAATCATACAAAAATATGCTCAAAACACAGGATGCTTAGTTAATTCCAATTTAGATGTCCGAATCTTTTTCAATAGAGAAGTGAAAAGTTTTCAGAGTCTCTAAAATTCTGGAACTCATACAAATTCACTACTAACTGTAGATTGCATGTATTGTACCATTAATGATCCTAACAGTACATTTCAACTTTATACTCAACAAAATGCATCGAAATGAATCAAACAAAAGTAAGTAAACATTCATAGCTAAATTGCTGAGCAGTTCAAGTATCAAAATACCGTATGCAAATCATTTATTTTAAATCAAAACAAACACAAGGATATGTAACACGTACTAATCCAGAAACTAATAAAATAGCCTATATGATGAAACTAAATCTCGAAATAATACGTGTTCCTACAATGACATCATGCAATGATATTATTGTAGCAACGATTTCAAAAATGATAGAAGGAAGCTTCTTGTTCCAGGAATTCTCGGGTCATCCCGAATTATTTATGTCCAAGATCTTGACATTAAAGTGCATACAGTCAGACATTTTATGCTTTAGAATAAAATTTCAAAGAAAATTCGGATAAATTCATATATAAAAGTGATTTGAAGGTTATTTAAATTTAAAACACTCCGTTAGTTTTCATCCTAAATTATTTGCCGAACAATTAAACAAAACAAATTTTCGAAAATATTATTTTCGTAGATTCTTATTATCACACTTGAAAGTTTTTAGTGCTTATACACAAATTTCCTATCGCAAGTTCAACAGACAACACGAATGGAGGCGCAAAATGGAAGACTGGACTGAGCAGAAAAAGAATAAATAATGTTTTAAAAAGACAATACTTCAACAAAAAAGAAAAGCTTATAACACTTAAAACTTTTTCAACAGTTGAAAATACTGCATTTGTGAAAAAAAAAAAAAAAAAAAAACAAGGAGAACAAAACTATTTTTCTGATACTCAAATTTCAAATTCGCAAGATATTTTTTATACACAGCACCCAACAGAAGAATGGATTTTGAACAATTCTATTTCCATCGCATGCAAATAAAAGTCTCACCGACCAGTTTTGGGAAGCAATTTTTTGTACAACTTCTACCAGACGGCAGTGTATTAAGAAATAAATATAACTGATATGTCATAATAAAGCTAAAGCTCATAAACGATTTAAAGATAAATTTGATATGTCCTGATAACCGACTATGGTCAAGAATGAAACAGTATTCAAGAAAGGAAAGTGACGAATGTTGTCGGAAATACACCTTTGCATAACGGATTATTTTCCAAATACCCTTCCTGAAAACTAAATGATTTGAACTCACTATTAACAGTACGTATTCAGAAAGTATTAAACATTAGAAAAGTAATGGATCTGTTCGTCTTTTAGAAGCATAAGGGAGGTTGAGACATATTAATGTATATATTAACTCATTAGCTCAATAAAGAATGAAGCACCAATAATTTAATTAAAAGTGAATACTTTAATTAACTAAACAAGAAGATGATAGAAATTTGTTATGCGACTCAACATAAAGAATATTAGAACATTACTGCTCGGTTTAATTTTGAGGCAAGTGCTGTGAGAAAGAACAGATTACTAATTCTTTCCAAAATACAACACTATTTTTGTAGCAGATAGTAGGCTTATGCAGTCATTGTATCAAATTTCTGTAGTCGACTAAAGAAGGAAATATTTCAAATTTATTGTATTTATTACTGATTATTGAAAATGATCTCATTTTTAATAAAAACAAGCTTACCATCCAGATATCACTTTCTCCAGTAATTTTTTCTTTTGTAATCACAATTATGTCACCTTGCCGAAATGACAACTCATCAGCATTATCAGCTTTGCAATCATATAAGGCTCGACAGCGTCGTGCACAATCTCTCTAAAATTTCTGATTCTTATTCTTGTTTACTGTAGTTGTTGCTAAAGTAAGTAGCTGTTCGGATCCCATCGCACATATCCTTTATTCCAAGATTCAATCACAAGACCAGAAGAATCTTTTATAGAAATCTTACAGAACTGAACTGGTCAAGTCAACTGCAGCAACACTAAGAATAAGCCATATTATATATGACTTATGATATGTTGTCCTTTTACCTTACAACTGGAATCCATCAAGCAAATTAATTCGGTTTCACTCTACTTAATCTCATAAATATCAATACAGGAGCTTTCATAAATGCACATGACTATCACAAGATAAAAAAGTGATACTAAGGTATCTGTGTCACTGCTAACCTGTTTGTTTTCTCTAGAAAGAGATGGGAAACGTCTTGGAGCCGGGATCGGTGGCTTTAGTTTAACACCGATTAGTGGTGGTGGTGCAGGCGCCGGTCGTGTTAACCGTATGCTCCTCGACATATACCGAGGCATTTCCCGACGTAAATTATTTGCAGCTAACGAATTCATTACAGAAAAGCGTGCATGTTCATTATCCGACGTAAAATTTGACCGCGCTTGATCAAAAGCCGATGAAGTTCCTTTGACAAAGTCTAAAACATAGCCTTATATCTTGAATCTTATAAGTGTAAAGTAGACTTGAAATGATATCATCCATACTTCCATCTTCTTTTATAAAGTTATGTAACAATTTTTAATAAATATGAAAGCTAATATCTTCATGAAGTAGTTGATTTAGAATATTGAAAGGAGAGCTCAATTAACCGTATTCCACGAGATGAAATAATGTCATATGAAAAACTGTATCAAACAATACTATTCCTTTTTTAACAAAAATTTTCAAGAATATAATAAATCCTATTCCTTTTAACAAAAATTTTTGGGAATTAGAAATAAAAAATTTTCTACACTAGCCTTGCTCATCTGTAATATATGGATTTCTTGCGGGTCTTTCTCTCTCATTTTGTGCTTCCGCAACACATTTCTGTTTATCAATAATTTCCTCTTTTCCTGGAGCGACTACATATATATTCATTTCCTGCTTTTGAGCATTCAAAGGAATAGGATCAAGACTTATTGAGGCAACAATCGGAAATGTTGTTCCCATTATTTCATCATTATCTGGAAAGAAAATAATTATTTCCGACCTTCTGCTCCTTTTAATGTGTTTTTTTATTTCCTGAGTCATCAGAAATGTCAATACAAATGCTTGAAAAGATTTTTTCCGCATTCACCCTCCAATACTTTCGTAGAAAAAAGCTTCAAAAAAAAAAAAAAAATTATTTTTCAAAAAGTTAGCCACATATAATAGCACAGTGCTCTCTTTGCTTGAAAGATGAAAAATCAACATAAAATGCCGTAAATAAATTAGTTTCATTATATAACAGTATAGATCACCATTACTTCATAGATCATAGTAGGCTTTCAAAATTGACTGTATGTATGAATAGAATTATATTAAAAAGTCAACCTCTAGTGGAGCTGGACTGTGGAGCAAGATGTCCTGGAAGAGATCTAACTGTTGCTGATCTATCGCCTGGGTCCTCAAATGAATTTATTCAGTTTAGAAATAAAATGGCGTAAATAAATTAGTTGAAATGACTATGCAACTAAGGAACTGGCTATAATTTACTGACATCAGAAATATTTTTACTTCAAAACAATTTGCAGTTCGTGAATATTCGCTAGCTGATCGAATATAGGACTTTGCCATGTTTTGCGCTGGTGTAACCGAAATTGGTGGCGAGGAAGAAATCGGGATAGATGGTAATGTCTATAAAATAACAGCCGCATTCAGAGGAAGAGAAAATTCTGAAGTTAGTATTTCCTCAGATATTTGGAATTTGATATTCAAACTCAGCAATTTCTTATCGAAACAAGAAGCACCACTAAGTTCAACAATCAACACTAAACCACTTCTTGAAATATCTCATTTTCGAAAATTTACCACAGAATAATGATTTGAATGCGTGGCTACGCGTGCGGAGTCAACATTAGACGATGGCGTCGAAGTACAGAGTGGCACTACGAATGGTAGGAATTCTTTTCTTTCATCAAAGTTCTTGGAACCACTTGTCTGTGTGCTGTTATGCGCAGAAGTTTCTGTATATAAGGCAGTTCAAATCACACAAATAATACGGTTAGAATTATTAATATCTGTTAATTAATAGAAATATTGTCACCACTTATTTCCTATAAAATTTAAAAAAGTGGATCTGACCGCGTCCTTTGATCAAATAAAAATTCATATAATGTAATAACGAAACTGAATTTAAAATTCACAGAAATGAATCATTACATTTCAAAATGTTATCAAGATAAAAGAAAGAACCTTGTCAAAAGTCGAGAAAAAAATCGGAAAAAGGCATACAGTATAAGCATACAATAGCATACCGTATACTATATATTACACACTGTGACTATACACGATTATAATCTGGAATATAAACTAATGAATGACTACTTGAAGAGATATAACTTGTACCATACCTCTTTCAACCAAAGAATGAGCTGGTTCACTCTCAACAAAAATCTGCTTGGATAAACGATTGCCTCCAGTGTCTTCCATAGATAAAGGTGCTATAAAATACACTAATGTTGATGTTATGAATGAAAAAAAAAAATACATCAAAAGCTTCTAGCGGTTTAATGCTATAGCTGCAATTGATAACAGCGTATAATCCCATACGAGGCAACAGAACAGGATACATCATTACCAAATCTTTTTGTTCCATCATTATTTAACTTTCTATATTCAAACCAATCAGATTTC